CAGAAACAGGAATGCAGCAAGGAGGGTAAGAACACAAACAAAACTGCAGTCTAACGTGACACAGGGCTTTTAAAGTGTCTCCTATGGAAAGTATAGTGTACCAAAGTTCATCTTCCTTTTGTGGGTGTACACAATTCTAAAGCTTGACATGTTGAGTATCTATTGATGTAACATAACCTCATCTTTCACGTATTTCTTACTGATAATTTGCACTTAATAAATTGTACAAATATCGTGTAACATAAAAATTGTAACTACCATTTTATTCTTCAGGGTCTCTGCTTTCAGAAAATATACAGTCATGGCCGAAATTGTTGGCACCCTTGATATTTTTCCTGAAAATCAAGTATTTCACACAAAAAAGGTATTGCATTAACACATGTTTTGCTATACACATGTTTTATTCCCTTTGTATGTATTGGAACAAATATAAAACAGAGGCAGAAAAGCAAATATGACATAATGTCACACAAAACCCCAAAAATGGGCTGGACAAAAGTATTGGCACCCTTAACTTAATATTTGGTTGCACACCCTTTGGAAAACATAACTGAAATCAGTCGCTTCCTATAACCATCAATAAGCTTCTGACACCTCTCACCCGGAATTTTGGACCACTCTTCCTTTGCAAACAGCTCCAGGTCTCTCTTATTGGAAGGACACCTTTTCCCAACAGCAATTTTAAGATCTCTCCACAGGTGTTCAATGGGATTTAGATCTGGGCTCATTGCTGGCCACTTCAGAACTCTCCAGCGCTTCTTTGCCATCCATTTCTGAGTGCTTTTTGACGTATGTTTGGGGTCATTGTCCTGCTGGAAGACCCAGGATCTTGGACGCAAACCCAGCTTTCTGACACTGGGCCCTACAGTGCGACCCAAAATCCTTTGGTAATCCTCAGATTTCATGATGCCTTGCACACAGTCAAGGCACCCAGTGCCAGAGGCAGCAAAACAACCCCAAAACATCATTGAACCTCCACCATATTTTACCGTAGGTACTGTGTTTTGTTCTTTGTAGGCCTCATTCCGTTTTCGGTAAACAGTAGAATGATGTGCTTTACCGAAAAGCTCTATCTTGGTCTCATCTGTCCACAAGACGTTTTCCCAGAAGGCTTTTGGCTTACTCAAGTACATTTTGGCAAACTGTAGTCTTGCTTTTTTATGTCTCTGTGTCAGCAGTGGGGTCCTCCTGGGTCTCCTGCCATAGCGTTTCATTTCATTTAAATGTCGACGGATAGTTCGCGCTGACACTGATGCTCCCTGAGCCTGCAGGACAGCTTGAATGTCTTTGGAACATGTTTGGGGCTGCTTATCCACCATCCGGACTATTCTGCGTTGCAATCTTTCATCAATTTTCCTCATCCGTCCACGACCAGGGAGATTAGCTACAGTGCCATGGGTTGCAAACTTCTTGATAATGTTGCGCACTGTGGACAAAGGCAAATCTAGTTCTCTGGAGATGGACTTGTAACCTTGAGATTGTTGATATTTTGCCACAATTTTGGTTCTCAGGTCCTCAGACAGTTCTCGTCTCCTCTTTCTGTTGTCCATGCTTAGTGTGGCACAGACAGACACACAATGCAAAGGTTAAGTGAACGTCTCTCCTTTTTATCTGCTTTCAGGTGTGATTTCTATATTGCCCACACCTGTTACTTGCCCCAGGTGAGTTTACAGGAGCATCACATGCTTGTAACATTCTTATTTATCCGCAGTTGTGAAAGGGTGCCAATACTTTTGTCCAGCCCATTTTTGGAGGTTTGTGTGACATTATGTCGAATTTGCTTTCTTTCCTCCCTTTTTTTGTTTTGTCCCAATACACACAAAGGGAATAAACATGTGTATAGCAAAACATGTGTTAATGCAATACGTTTCGTGAGAAATACATGATTTCCTGGAGAAATATCAAGGGTGCCAACAATTTCGGCCATGACTGTATATTTGGGGGTTTTAACTAATCTTCAGGCCAAAAATAATATATTAAATGTGTATGTCACGGAGCTGGTCCTTCCTCCCCCATCCTCTAGGTTTGCTGCCTGCCACCCCTCACCCCTCAGCAGCCCCTCACTCTTCTGTCCCATCCATTCTGGAACTTCTAATCCTCCGTGTCCCTGACACAGGCAGCCCTCAGAAGCCCCTCACCCCCCTGTCCCTGGCAGTCTGGCCCCCTGCTGAGGGAATCCACAAACAGGCCCCCTCCTCCCTTCCCCCTCATGCACATCTTCCCAGGCTCCATGCCGGAGGCCGTGTTCCCTGGGCGGGTCTGGAGACCTGGGAGACAGGACCCGTTGCCATAGTAACCCGACAGGAAATCTCGGGTTACCACTGCAGCAGAAAGGCTCCCAGCTCTGTACTTAAGAGAGAGCACTGAAAACCCCCCTCGTGTTCTCCTGGCTGCGTGTATGGGAGAAGGCTGTGCTGCGTGCCAGCTTCTCTCATACGACCATCCCCCGTCCCCTTCTCCTCTACCTGGCTGACTGGACTGTCCGTCTGCTGCTGGATCCCCTCCGGTGTGGGGTGAACTCTCTGCTGCCTGGAATCCCTTCCCTGGCTGGACTTACCTCTTGTTCCCTGTGAGCCTGCGGGCTAAACATCTTCCCTGGCTGGACTTACCTCTTGTTCCCTGTGAGCCTGTGGGCTGGACATCTTCCCTGGCTGAACTTACCTCTTGTTCCCTGTGAGCCTGCGGGCTGGACATTTTCCCTGACTGGATTTAACTCTTTGTTGCCCGTGAGCCGAACGGACTTAACCCTTCCCTGCCTGGAGCTGCCTGTGTGGACTGTAACCCTCTGTGTCCGGCTCCTCGCATCCAGTAAGTGGACTAACCCCGTGCTGCCCAAAAGACTGAACCCTGTGGATTACCATACCCGTTGTTCCATATTGCCTTCCAGAGAACTGTACTGTGTTGCTGTGTCTGGTGTGGATCTGTGGATTAAAGGAACTGTTGTCTGTGCCCCAAAAACCCCCCCAATAAACGCCGCACGTTGGGTTCCGTGCAATCTGTCTCTCTGTCCTCTCTGGTTCTCTTGACAGTGTAAAAAATGCGAAGTGTTAAAATGATATCCGCATTCACTCTATAATTATTTTTAAAACAAGAATTTCCTACTGGGGTCACACATAACAGTGAAGATTCATGCAGTGCATGGATCTCTTTAAGGTTAGCGCAGAGACCCCACAGACACGACCGATGGTGTCACTGCTACTTGTCTAACACAGACATCCCATAGATCAGATTCCGCTGCCTCTACTCATCCGTACATTCAATGCAACAATCTAATACATTCACATAGATACCTATAGAGTCCACATATAATAGACAACAAGAAACACCAACAATTTGTAACTTCTCTGGAGAAATTTCTTAACATTGTATTATTCATAGTTAATCCTTACCTCAGACTCTTGATGTTGTGAAGAGTAGGTATAAATTTTCTCAATCCTTCATTCTGAATATTACATGAACCTAGATTTACTTCTTCTATCTCTCTGCAGGATTGAAGGATAAAGGACAGCACAGAGCAGTCCAGAGGGCTGAGGAAGATATTAGAAAAGTCAATTTTTTTTGATTCAATATATTGTGATATCAGAGCCTTATTCCTGCTCTCATGGAGATAGTAGAATACATTAAGAAGATCTCTCTTGTCTCTCATATGTTTCTCAGATCTTTGTTTTGTAATTTTCTTCTGGATCCAGGTGATGACATGTCTGGCAGCCTGAGTAGCCAATTCTCCAGCACAAGACTTTAACATGGATCTAGTAGAAGAGTCTGAGAGACCGCAGAGGAAACGGAGGAATATTTCGGCACGACCGTCTTTGTAAGATTCAGCTCCATCAAGTGTTTCCTGTAATCTGTCAGCATTATAGTCAATAAAATGGACTAAAGCAGCAAAAAACTCCTGAAGAGTGAGATGTAAGAAGGTGTAATCTACATCAGGAGGCTGACCAGATTCCATCAGGAAAGATGAAAAGAGATGTTTATCATTTCTCACACTGAATGACTCCAGATGACGCTCATCAAATACAATCAAGTGATTCATGACTCCATGTTCTGCCATCCGCAGATGTCAGCAGTTCCCAGACAGTGTGTCCACCATCTTTATTCTGGCTGTGATTGGCCAGAATGTTGGAGACAAAAGTCACAAAGAGTTGTGTCATTGTTTTGGGTAATAATGTCATCAGCTGATCAGTGATTGTTGGTCGGGCTCTGAAGCACATTGACAACACTGTACAGATGATCCAGCAGTATGCTGGGATATAACAGAAAGTGTACAGCGTGTCATTCTCCTGCACATAATGAAAAGCCTTCTCTGACCATTCCTCATTTCCAAAAAAATTATTAAAGAAGATCCGTCTGTCTTCATGGAAAAATCCCATGATCTCAGCTATTCTCTGGAAAGCACCGGTATCAACCGATGCCAGTCTGGTTGGGCGGCTGGTCATCAGTACAGAGCAACCCTTAAGAAGACTCTGCCTCACCAAACTGACCACAATCTCACCAAACTGTGTTCTCTGTTTTTGATTGGACAGTTTACTTGATCTGAAATCCATTTGGTGAATACTTTCATCCAAGCCATCAAATATAAACAGAAGTCTCTCTGGATCCTGTAACATATTTCCAATCTGACTCTCCAGATGTGGATATTGATGAAGAATCATCTCCTCTAAACTGACCTCTCCCAGTCTATTAAGGTCCCGGAATCTGAAGAGGAAGACAAAGGCAAATCTCTGGTAGTGTTTTCCGGTCACCCAGTCATAGACAAACTTCTGCATCAGTGTGGTCTTCCCTATTCCTGGCACTCCGCTCACCATTACTGCATGTGGTACACATTGTGACTGGAGGTTCCATCGGAACAGCCTGTTGGGGGAAATATGTTCCAGTTCAGTTTGTGTTTTCTTTAAGCATTCCTCATGTTTTACCCCGGTCTGTATTATCTCATTCTGGGGACGCTGCCGGAACTGATCAGTGGAGACTACAATCAGCTTCACATAACGCTCATTGATGAGGAAACTTTGTGGTTCCAGGGTAGTTCCTGGGGGTCTATGCTCCATTAGAGTCTCAGTCATCTCCATCAGTTGATGTTTGTGAGCTTTATGAATATCTGGGAATATAATGGAAATTTTTTTTTACTCCGGTTAAAACAGTAGTTGTAATGTAATGCTGGATGCAATAACTAAAAGCAAGTTATATACACAGGTAGTCATACGCACACACAATTACACAAGTAGTCATACACAAGTACTTTTGACCAGCATTTACACCATTACATATTCTAAGCATGTAAAAGACCCTCTACCAAATGAACACCTGCCCCAGCACATCATAGCATTCACCCGGCACTCCAAGAAATAACAGAATCCAACTGCAATATTCTTGCACTGTCAAAATCTCCACATTTATTATCACACAACACACAGGAGGATATATCTTATAGTCATCACAATCTGCATAATAACACACATCAATAATAATGTGAGCATTACAGCATGAAATAGACACATTATTTGTGTCACAGCAGAGAATTAATATATTACCAAAGCTATGTGAGGGTGAGAAGGAACAGATCCCATCGGAACTATAATGCACAGGGGATCACGGAGAAGCCTCAAACGTGACCAAATCAATGAGTCCATATAGCCTTGGCAAGAGTCTCAGTGTCAGAGCATCCCCCGCCACATGGGGTTCTTCCAAACAATTGGCTCAAGCTCACTGCTTTTAAACCATTTTTCTGGCAGCTTTCCCAAAGTAGGCGGGCACCACACCCATTCCAGGAGGAGCTAGCAGAAAGGTTCTGTGAGGATAACAGTCACGCTTAGCCACCATATTGAATATACAATGTTATCTGAATAGTCACACTTTTGCTTCAGATCAGCTTCTCATCTACCCTAAACATCTTCTCATCTACCCTAAACTTAAAGATTTCCAACTTCTCAAGCAAGTAGACATCTAACAGGTTCTTATCTTTTAATGTGACATTACTAGATGTTATAAACAAGTTCAATCTCATAAACAAGTTTCTTTCTACTTTAAGCAGTCCAATATCTTGTTCTGTTCCTTTAGCTTAGAGAAATGACATCAGTCACTTCTCATGCTCCTGGCATCTGGCAACAATGCTTTATTGTAAAAATTACCCAAGAAACAAAGAGTCCAGGGCCAACACATTTCATAGGCATTACAGTAGTTGAGAAAGCATAAGCAGTACTCCCAGTGGAAGGGTTGCTGTCAGGGGCTTCTTCTACCACCCTTCAAAGTCCAATGTTTCCCCTTCATCTCCTCCCCACATATTCCCAATAAATACCATATGCTGCCTCTTCTATACTGTGTGGTTAGCGTTGGCATCTCTGACTTTCACTTTTGTGTCCTTTAGCCCCAGCCATCCAAGTAGACTTTCCAGCCTTCCAGGCAGCACGTCCTCCCACAATGTTTTATAAGCACCAAAAAGTTGGTCATCAAATATGTCACTGTGATCAAGAGTGCCCTGATGGGCTCCAGGATGGCTCAGGTGAGATCACACCTGACTGGAGATACTTTAATATGCAGACATTAATCAGAATAGGACCTCCAGCTAATTACAGTTCTGTGATGTCATGTTTGAATACCATAAGCTTCAAAGAAAGATGATGCTGGAAGCTGAAAAGTTGTGTACAGTAACCTCAATAAAATGTAAATTAATTAAATAACATGAATATACTTTATTAATATACAATGATCCAGATGTACAAAAATTATCTTTGACTAAGAATTTCTATGTATATAAAATAATGAACGAAATTTGTGGCCTACTCGCCGGAGGCTGTATCTGAAGCCATAGCCTCGATTTCGGGTCCGTCGGAGGCCGCATCCGAAGCCCCGGCCTTGAGTTTGGGTCTCCCGCAGGAGGCCGCAACTGAAGCCTCGGTCTCTATTTTTTGGGTCCTGCCGCTACCCACGGGTGGGCCAGATCCCAGGGGTGATGACGGCCAGGCATCAGAGGCATCCCTGCAGTACCCCACACCAGCTCTGAGGGATGCTGAGCTCCTGCGCCACTTGAAGTCCATGCTGCAGTCAAAATTATCCTGCGCTACTTCCAAGCTGACCGACCGTCTTTCGCGAGAAATTCGGGAGTTGGGCAATCGGACGAACGATCTTGAAGATAAAATGGATGCTGCAGCCACGGTCATTGAAAGTCACGAACAGGATCTGTGTGACCTCAAGAAAGCAATGACGGACACACTGCTCCAGCTTGAGGATTTCGAAAACCGTTCCCTCCGCGGCAATTTGCGATTAAGGGGTATCCCAGAAACTGTCACAGATCTCACCTCAACCACTACCGCTCTGTTTCAGGAGCTGATGCCCACCATTCCCATTGACTGGCTTAAATTTTACCGCATACACCGTGCATTGGGCCCCAGATGACCGGATGAGCCCCCGAGGGACAATATCATCAAGTTAACTTGCTACCGCACTAAGGAAACTATCCTCTTGGCGGCCAGAAACAACCCAGACCTCAGATTCCAGGGGCATCGCTACCAGCTCTTTGCAGACCTCTCCCAGAGCACTCTTCAGAGGAGCCGCCAGTTGAAGCCCTTCAGTCCTGGTGAACCGCAGAATTAAATACGCCTGGGACTTTCCGTTCCGCCTCACCTTCACCCACCAGGGCCTCAGCCACTCTGTTGCCATGCCAGAGGAGTCCCAGTCTCTCCTGGAATCTTTATACCTTCTTTCGCAGGGAAGCGCTACTCAGAGCCCAGCTCATTTATCCAGATCCCCGGTGAAGCAGCTTCCTCTGGGCCGCCTCTGGGAGTGGTTTTCCGACAGGAAGAGGGCCCTCCCTCAGATCCCTCTACAATCAAGTCTGTCCTGCTCTTCTCTGGGCTGAAGATGTATCTTGGACCTCCCACATTGTGTTTCACCATTGGACTTTCCTGACGGGACCATGAGTTTCGCCATTAGGGCATTCCCAGTTTGTTAGTGTTCCAGGTTGGGCCTGATCCGGCCTGTTCCCTTGGGTTCCATCCTTGAGTGGGGGGGGTTTCTCCTCCTGGACTTGGGGATTATGACTTTTTGCTGTTGCTGCCTACCACAGGTCCGGGTGACGTTGTCCAGGTTCTCGTTGGTTGTTGGTCCTACTGGGATGTTGGTGGGGACCACTTTGGCTGTGTTGTGGGGTACCATGGTGGCCTGTAGTCGTCCTCCTGGAGGGGGTTGGCCCCCAAGTTTAGCTGGGTTCCATGGGGAGGTCACCACGGATGTTCTCACTTCTGGGACTCATATTTTTATTACTTTTGGTACCCCGTTATATTGTGTTTATTGGCTTTATGTTTTTTATGTTTTCATTTGCAGCCATGTGTCCGGTGGTAGAGCCACCCCCAACTGGTATCCTTCAAGTGTAGGAGGATGCACGTCACCATTGGCGTGACACGATTGTACTGTTGTACATACTTCTTGTGTCGTTTTCTTTTCTTTTCTGGTTTTTCTGTTCTTGTTTTATGCAGGGTTTTGGGACGCCATGGTTCGATCACCATTGGGAGTGGAAATTGTTGGCTGACTTATGCTTTTTCTGCTGAGTGTGCTGTGCTGATGCTGCCATGCCCTCACCCCTTTTGAAAGTACATTCACAAAATGGTCAAGGCTTCAATTTGCCTCAGAAGCAGGCTAAAGTTTTCCATTACCTCAAATTGCAACAAATAGACATGCTATGTTTACAGGAGACCAGGTTTTCTCAGTCCTCCGCCCCACGGTATCTTTCGTCTCATTATCCCACTTTTTACACAGCCTCGGTTCCTGAGAAACTCCGGGGTGTACTGATAGCTTTCAAACACAATCTCCCCTTTGTCTGTGCTTGGAATATAGCGGACTCCACGGGCATGTATTTGCTCCTGCAGGGCACCCTCTGGGACCAGGAGGTTACTTTTGTCTCTTAATATGTGCCCAATCGCTTTCAGTATAAATTATTTTATCATCTTTGCACCATCATTTCCCGACACTCCAAGGGTCTTCCTCTTTTGGGAGATTTAAATGTTACCTTGGATTCCACATTGGATAGGCGCTATGCCAGGGGGGGCGGCCCCTTCTCATGACTAAATGCTAGAGGAATGTATGTGCTCTCTTTTGCAGACAGTGGGGCTGGCGGACGTTTGGAGGGAACTTCAACTTTGCAGACTTCCTTTCGCGCCTTTACGCTAAACCAGATCCCTTCCCTGTGGCTTAGGCAAAGACATTCTTCCAAGATCTACAACTTCCTGGATTATCCGAGGCAGCGCAGATGGCCTCAATGCCAGTGTCACCGTATTGGAAATGCTCCAAGCTATCAAATCTCTACGGTCCACCGCGGCCCCAGGTCCCAACGGCCTCTCCGGTCTCTATTATAAGAAATTTGCAACCCTGTTGGCACCCTTCTTGGCTGACTATTGCATTGACATTGACATTGAGTTGTGACAGGGCTCTTTGCCCTCTCCGGACGCGCTTAGAACTCATATCTCCAGGATTCTTAAAAGGACCGATGATGTGCAGGAACCACAAGCCTTCCGGCCCATTTCTTCTTCTTAATGAAGACCTGAAGATATTGGGCAAGATCCTTAGTCTTCGTATCAATAAATATTTGTGTAGTCTGGTCCACAGGGACCAAGTAGGTTTCATCCCTGGGAGGCAGGCAGGCAGGCAGGCAGGCAGGCAGGCAGGTGATAAAGTTCGTAAGGTGGTCCATCTTATACATTTTCTACAACAGCGGAAAATCCCGGGATTTGTACTGTCCTTAGACATATGTAAAGCCTTTGATTCTCTATCCTGGGAATATCTGTGGTTTGTGCTGTATTGTTGGGTCTTTGGGGATTCTATTCTTTCTTGGATTCAAGCCTTGTATTCTTCCCCTTCGGCTTCCGTTAAATACGCTGGGTATTTCTCAGATCCCTTTCCTATTTGGCGAGGGACAAGACAGGGCTGTCCACTGTCCCCGGCGCTCTTTGTCCTGGCTTTAGCGCTCTGGACCGATTGTAATGTATCGGGTGTTCCATACGCGGGACAGGAGTTCAAGTTGAACCTTCTTGCGGACGATGCCCACTTTACTCTCACGAATTCCCTGACGACGCTTCCAAATTTGCAACAGGTTCTTGTGCGCTTCTCCTTGATTTCGGGTCTCCGTATTAATTTGGATAAGACTGTCGCTCTCAATATTGCTTTGGCCTCAGATTTGGTTTCGTGCCTACAGTCCCACTTCCCTTACAAATGGGCTTCCTCTTCTCTTGAATACCTAGGCATTCACTTGACTTCTACCTATGGCTCATTGTTTGCTGCAAATTATTAACTATTGCTTTGCTCTCTGTTTTCTTTTATGCACTCTTGGAAATTTCCGCACCTGTCTTGAATAGGATGGGTTAATTCAGTGAAAATGACCACCTTGCCGAAATTGTTATACTATTTTCGCACCCTCCCAGTGCGGGTTCCTCCTCATTTCCTTTGGTTGATTCAGGCGAAGATTATGCATTTTATCTGGTCCGATAAGAGCCCCAGAGTCTCCAGAAATACGCTTTTTGTTCATAGATTCCAGGGTGGTCTTGGGGTGCCTAATGTAACGTAATGTAAGTATTATCAGGCAAGCCAGATTGCCCAGCTGTCTATGTTGCATGCTTCTTCAGACGTTCCTCTCTGGGTCCTGCGGGAACTACCTAATTGTGCCCTTATTGTGACACCAACGCTTCCATGGCTTCCCTCTGCCCTATGGCACTGAGTCCGACTTTGCTCCATGGTTTACAAGTGTGGGACTCGATACATTACTCCAGTGGCTTGATGTCACCTTTCCTACCTTTGCTCTCAAAAACAACCCTCTCTTCCCATCGAGTTTAGATCAACCAAGGGCATTTTCTTGGTGGGTGGCCAATGGTTTTTCGCAGGTATTTGGACTTCTCTTCGGGAGTCACGGGGTGTCCCTCAGGCAGAATTTTTTTGTTACCTTCAATTGCGGCATTGGCTCACCTCATTGCGGGGCACTTCCGCTTTCCCGTACCAGAAATCTGCCTTTGAACTGCTTTGCCAACAGCGTCCGGGCGCCCCAAGCCTTATTTCCCTTCTTTATGCAGCTTTAAACAGACGCTCAACGTACACTTCTCTCTCATATGTCGCTCAGTGGGAGCGCGACCTGGAGGAAGCCCTGTATCTGGAGGACTGGAATAGGGCCTGGTCACTTATAGCTAAATTTTAATACGACCATGCTGGAGGCGGCATACAAGGTATTGTTTTGTTGTTATTGGGTTCCGGCTCGTTTGGCCCAGTCGAACCCTGCCTTCAGTGATCGAAGCTTTTGGGGTTGTGGCCATCATCGTGATGTTTTGCATATCTGGTGGTCATGCCCGAGACTGTTTCGTTTTTGGTCTCATGTGTTTGGCCTCCTTTTCACCTTGATCCATCTCTCCATACGCCAGGATGCTCGGTATGCTTTGCTTCATTGTCCCATACTGGGCCTCTTGGCTCACCAGCAGAAGTTGGCTTCCCATTTGTTTTTGTCAGCCACTAGAAAAATTGCTCAGGCCTGGAAGAGCCCGTTTGTCCCTCATCAGGGGATGCGGGACCGTATGACCACTATGATGCTCAATGAACAGATGTCGAATATCTGTAATGACTCCCAACGGAAATTCTTGAAAATATGGGAGCCGTGGTTGCAATATGCCTTTCCCACGCTCCCCCCGGCTAGTCTGGAGTTGTGATGTTGCTCGGTATTGGCGGTCTTGGACCCCTGCTCTTGGTCTTGCTATCTTTTTCCTTTTGTACTCCTCTTTCCTTTTCTTTTTCTGTTTTTAGTGTGGCAGTGGATAGCTGCCTTTAGTTTGAGTTACTGTCGGTGTTATACTAATGTTTTTGTAATTTATGTGCCATTAATAGCCCCTGCATGCGCGCACCTTTTGCTCTGTTGGTGTTAGAGCACTGCTTTTTAATTTTTTTTTTATGTGCAATTGATAGCCCCTGCGTGGGCGTGTTTTTGTTGCTCCTGTCTTAAACTGTTTATAAATTAATAAAAACATTTAAATACAAAAATATTTGGGCAAAAAGAATCAGTGGTCATAGGAGAATGTTGTCTTCTAATTTTTCATTTTAAGTGTATGTTACCCAAACATTTCATATTCCCGATATTTGTCTGTTGTACCATAGGCAGTACTTGTGTTAAAAAGTCTCCTGTTCTCTTTGTATTGCTTCCTTTGTGAGAAATACCTGGTGTTCCCGCCAGTCCCTCTGCTTTCCTATTTCAAACATATTTTTTCCTTCCCAACATTGTCAGTCAAAGAAATACTTATAAATAAAATGTATTTTTTCCTAAGAATACTCGTCTTTCAATATATGAATTTTTTTACCTAAATTTACATTTTACTTGTTCTGTGTCTGCTGCCCTGTTGAATGATAGGGAGAGATTTACAAAAACTGGAGCACTCAGAATCCGGGGCAGCTGTGCACGGGAGCCAATCAAATTCTAACTTCATCTTCTTCAATTAAGCTTCGACAATAAAACGTGGAAGCTGATTGGTTTCTATGCACAGCTGCACCAGATTTTGCACTCTCCAGTTTTATTAAGCCCTTCACACCTAAGGGTAAAAAAAGATCTTAACATCTAAGTAAAATTTTACAACTTTGAGATGTTAATAATACCGTACATATCATCACAACTACTTTGTACATCCAGGTAAATTATGCCTTGTTTTTTTTTCAGGACCAATTGGGCTTTCATTTGGTGGTAAATGGTAACAGATATCTCCTGATTTCTTTTTTTTATCAAAGGAAAACTGGCCCAAAATGGTAAGAAGAATATATTTTTTTTAAATTTAGCTGTGTGTTTCTACCATAACCTACCACTAAAGAACAACCCAAAATAAATTCTCCAGCTCCTGACAATCGCGATACCATATGTGTGTATGTTATTTGTTGTTTGTACCCATAGTACAGCCCAGAAACAATAGTGCAAATGTTTTTTTTTCTCTTTGTCCTACCTAAAACACACTGGCACTGATACTAGTTTAAAAAAAAAATCCTGACCTTGACCCAAACACTAACCCTGGCACTGAACTAGATCAGACCTTGATCTAGGTATTTTATCTTTATTTTTTATTTATCTCTTTTGTTTTTCTCTACACACAGTTGCTTTTTTTTTCTCTGCAAGGAGAGAGAGAGATACAATGTATCTCTCTCCTCCATTCAAAGAGAGAAAACACGGGGGCGTGCTTCACAGTGACTGATCACTGTGATAGCCAATCAGAGGCTATCACAGTGATCATGTGACCCAGAATCGGGAGTTTTGGGTCCCGATCATTGCAATGGGACCCAGGGCTCTCAGTGACACCCTGGTCTTTGTGCTGGGAGTGCGCATACTCCCAGCACAAAGACAGATACACAAATATGCAACCCCACGGAAAAAGCCCAGTTCTTTGAGTGGGCATATTTGCTTTACGTTGGCGTCAAGGGGTTAAATAACTTCCATAGGTTCTTATTGGAAGGTCAGTGTTCTCATAGCAGCCAATATATGTTGTCTCTTTTAACTACAGATTGTAACATCAAAGCTCAACTCGAGGCTGCTGTAAAATGTAAATATTTGTGATTTAGTTGTGACAATGCTGACAGCAACACCCCTTGCAACTTTTTTTTTTATCCCACTACTATAGCAAGCTCCCACACCCTACATAACAGTTGTGATCCATTATCTGAAGTCAGGAACAGTGCAACATTGTTGCTGTTCCATCACAGGAAGTTACATTGGGTAGACTCCACTGGCAGGATCCTCAGGTGTAAGCAGGACTTTGCCATGGGGTTATCAGGAAACATCAAGTGCATGTGCACCTATAATTAGGTGTTGCAGAATATATTTTTAAGAAATTGTTATACTTCATGTTCTTACAGCTTAGTGTCTGACGATCATAAAGTAACATTACAGATGAGTACCAGAAATGCACATCTATGTAGGTCAACAAATCAGCATGATTCCCAGGCCTGTGCTCACTATGAAATCTCTTACATGGTGATCATTTACACTCACCGTTCACTTTATTAGGTACACCTCTTCAGTTGCTTGATTACACAAATCAGTCAATCACATGGTGGCAACTCAATGCATTTAGTCATCTAGACGTGGTGAAGACGACTTGCTGAAGCTCACACCAAGCATCAGAATGGGGAAGAAAGGGGATTTACGTGACTTTGAACATGGCATGGTTGTTGATGCCAGACGGGCTGGTCTGAGCATTTCAAAAACTGCTAATCTATTGGGATTTTCACACACAACCATCTCTAGGGTTTACAGAGAATGGTCCGAAAAAGAGAAAATATCCAGTGAGTAGCAGTTGTGTGGATGAAAATGCCTTGTTGAGGTCAGAGGAGAATGGGCAGACTGGTTTAAATGGTAGGGTCAGAATTTGGGGTAAACAACATGAAAGCATGGATCCATCCTGCCTTGTATCAACGGTTCAGACTGGTGGTGGCGATGTCATGGTGGGGGGGAGATTTTCTTGGCACTGGCAAGGTGGACCTAATAAAGTGGCTGAAGAGTGTAGTTTTTTACAAAACACAACTGTTGAATGACACTGTCTCACACCAACAGTAGGAGCCTGAAGGCTGCAGTTGTTAAATTACAATACAGTTGCCTATGGATGACATTTAATTTTATAGATCCATTTCACTGCAATGAGCTCATAGACTTAAAATAAAATGCGATGTTCAAAAATTCTGGTCCTGGTACAGCCATAAAACAAATCCAGTATCCTGTGTATTTGGTGCACCCGTATCATCAGGTGTAAATATTCCAACATCATCTCTTCACCTTACACAAATTGAGTCCTGTGTTTTATAATATATAATGTGTTTCGGGATTTTTTTTACCTGTCAGCTCCAGAGTCAGTGAGTGTCCGAGTTCATCCAGCAGAATCTGATCCACCAGATGATCACCTATACAGATGAATAGAAGATGACTGGTCTGAGTCATGTATGATTGAAGCTGACCTTTCACAAACTACACATTAGATTTATGTCCAAACAAAAGAAAATACATTAAAGGTGATCTCGGGGATAAGGAAATATTGTGTGAATATATTCATCCTGTGTATTGTTCCTTGAATCTTGGTATGCTTTGTGTTCTTCCAGATCTGTGTAGTAATCAGTGTGAGACTTTAGTCTCTGTGCAGGAGTTTTCTGTAATAAAGACCGCTCACTGCTGCTCCCTCTGCTTTAGGCCGGCCATACACGGGTTGAATTCCGAAATAATTTTCCTTTGAAAATCTTTTCTAAGAATTGTCGTTCTAATGTCGCACCATTAGTGGGCCACAGAAATTGAAAATCTTTGTGCAACCATCAAATATGAGAGCTCAGGCATGTTGGAAATTTTTTGAAAAACAAACAAATTTCTAATCAATTATGGGAGAATCATGCGAGAAATGTAATCAAAAAAGAAATGAGCATGAGCTGTGACCTAGAAAGAAAAGAAAATTCTTAGCCATGAAAATTCTTTTCTGTAGCAACCTAAGGGGAAATTGAAGGCTTGGTTGGATGGTGGCACCATCGGATTACAAAACGCATTAAGTTTCTGATTTTCCAAAGAAAATTTGTTTGGAATTTGACCTGTGTATGGCCTGCATAACACCAATTGTCACAGTGAAATATTTTAGTAGCGAGGAGACCGGACAAGCGTTTCTAGAGAGAGAGGTTGAGGAGTAATGTGGTCACATAGTTAAGCCGGCCATACATGGGTCAAATTCCAAAAGAATTTCCATTCGAATTTCACATCATTAGTGTGCCAAAGCAATGGCCAATTTTCGTGCGGCTATCAAATTTGAGTGATCGACATGTTGGAAACTTTTTGAAAAACGAAGGAATTTCTAATCAATAATGGGAGAATCGTGTGAGAAATAATCGAAATGAGCATGAGTTGTAACCTGGAAAGAAAATTCTTGGCCACTAAAATTCTTTTCTGTAGCAACATGAGGTGAAATTGAAGGCTTGGTTGGTCAAATTTAGAAATCAATGGTGGCACCATTGGATTACAAAACGCACAAAAGGTTCGGATTTGCTAAAGAAAATGTGTTCAGAATACGACCGATGTATGGCCAGTATTACATTCCACAAAAAGATATTGGTAGGAAGTCTGTCTATACCAGGCTTTTTGAAGTGCATTGGCACACTGCTGTGTCATTTGGGTTCTTTGAGGTGCCTTGGCAAAATGCCTAAAAAATTCCCTAAATTGCTCAAAAATTGTCCACAAGCTGTTAGTCAATTTTTTGTTGCACAAAGCCACAGGTTTTCATTGTGCATCATTACAACCTTGGACACCATGCGGGCCAGCTGCCAGCATCCTAACAACTGATTGCTTGCACAGCATCTCTCTGCCAGTACTGAGGTCATGTTAGCTGAATGAGCGAAAGAAACTGTGAGAGAAGAGAAACGATGAATACTAGTCAGTACCAGAGCGCAAAGGTGTATTTGCTTTGTAAAAATAAATCACCTATGGAATCTGTGGATTTGGTATATTATTTCCATGCCTTAATTTTCCCAGAATTGGCCCTCTCTCTCTCTCTCTCTTATGCTACTCTTTTTTTCTTTATCCCTTTACATTCTTCTTTCTCCTTTCCTCTGTGGTTGGTTATACCTTATCTTAGTTTGTTCTGCAAAGTTTATTATGCCTTAAACGAATACTAACTCTGTGTGTAATCTTAGGTCCACGAACAGTGGTTTCTCCCCTTGCCCTGTCTCCTAACCTTCCCCTACCTGTTCCCCTTCCTCCCCCGTACCCCACCACTGTGTTAGTTCTCTGTACAGTTAGGTCCATATATATATTTGGACACAATTTTCATACTTTTGGCTCTGTATGCCACCAGAATAAATTAAAATGAAACAAATAATCCAAATGAATTTGAAGTGCAGACATTCAGCTTTAATTCAAGGGGTTGAACATAAATATCAAGTACAAATTTTAGGAACTGCAACCATTTGTATACACAGTCCTTCCATTTTCAGGGGCTCAAATATAATTGGACAAATGAATATAATCATAAATAAAATGTGCATTTTTAATATTTTGTTGAGAATTCTTTACTGGCAATGACTGCCTGAAGTCTGGAGCCCATGAACATTACCAAAGACTGGGTTTCCTCCTTTCTGATGCTTTGCCAGGATCTAACTGCAGATGTCTTCAGTTGTTCTTTGTTTGTGGGTCTTTCTGCCTTTAGTTTTGTCTTCAGCCAGTGAAATGCATGCTCAATTGAGTTGAGATCAGGTGATTGACTCAGCCATTGCAAAATATTCCACTTCTTTTCCTTCAAATGCTCATGGGTTGCTTTTGCAGTGTGTTTTGGATCATTGTCCAACTGTACTGTGAAGCGCAATCCAATCACCTTTGCTGCATTTGGCTGAATCTGGGCAGACAGTATATCTGTAAACACTGCAGAATTCACTCGGCTGCTTCTGTCTTCTGTCACATCATCAACAACAATGACCCAGTGCCACTGGAAGCCATGCATGCATGCCCATACCATCACACTGCCTCCACCATGTTTTACAGATGACGTTGTGTGCTTTGGATCATGAGCTGTTCCAAGCCTTCTCCACACTTTTTTTATCCCGTCATTCTGGTGCAGATTCATCTTAGTTTCATCCGTCCAAATAATGCTTTTCCAGAACTGGTCTGGCTTTTTTAGATTTTTTTTTGGCAAAGTCTAATCTGGCTTTTCTATTCTTCAGGCTTATGAATGGTTTGCACCTTGTGGTGAACCCTCTGTATTTGCTCTCATGAAGTCTTCTCTTGATTGCAGACTTTGACAATGATATGCCTACCTCCTGGAGAGTGTCCTTCACTTGTCTGGATGTTGTGAATGGTTTTTCTTTACCATAGAGAGGATCCTTTGATCATCCATCACTGTTGTCTTCCATGGAGGGCTATGCATTTTTATGTTGCTGAGCTCACCAGTGCGTTCTTTCCTCAGAATGTACCAAACTGTTGATTTGGCCTCTCCTAATGTTGCTGTTATCTCTATGATGGATTTGTTTTGTTTTTGAAGCATTACAATGGCCTGTTTCACTTGCATGGACAGCTCCTTTGAATGCATTATGTAGGTTCACAGCAATAGATTCCAAATGCAAATATCACACTTAGAATCAACTCCAGACCTTTTTACATTCTTAAATCGGACAGAAGGATTCTTGAACTTATGGGGAGTTGCCTTTGCCTGTCATTCCCTATCTGGGACTCTTGAACTTTTGGACTTTATGGCTAAGATGTCCTGTTTTATCTATACTGTATGCAATTGTATTTGCTGCATTTATTCACACTAGGATCTCTCTACTTGTAGATCCCTCCCAGCACCAATTCTGTTCTTACTCTCCTTTACCTGCTTAACAGCTTCCCTTCCACCCTATAGCAGAAGTACTGCTACAGGGCAGAACAGGTGCGCAAAATCACGTGCATATACGTGAGTTTGCATTTCCGGGTAGGGGGGCGTGTGCGAGGTGCGCATGCACCCTACCTGCGGCGCCATTTGCGGCAGCGGCTGTCAATCACCGAGTCCCAGCCGGTGATTACTCGCCGGCGCCCGGTGATTGCCGAACATCTAATTTTTTTTTAGCAAAGACGTGTAGCAGAATACATTGTGGCCCTAAATTTGACAACATTTTATTTTTTTCCTGGACATGTTTAATAGCAAAAAGTAAAAATATTTTTTTTTTTCTCAAAATTGTCAGGCTTTTTTTTTCATAGCGCAAAAAATAAAAACAACGCAGAGGCGATCAAAGACCACCAAAAGAAAGCTCTTTTTGTGGGGAAAAAGGACGCAAGTTTCATGTGGGTGCAGCGTTGCATGACCGCGCAATTGTCAGTTAAAATAACGCAGCACCGTGACGCAAAAAATGGCCTGGTCAGGAAGGGGGGGGGGGGGGGGGGGGGGGAGGGAGGTAAATCCTCAGGAGGTCAGGTGGTTAATTGATGAAGAAATAATGAAGGAGTAGCCCACACCTGGCCATGAAACGGATTTTGATTCAATTGTCCAATTACTTTTGGTCTCTTGAAAAAGGAGGGATGGCCATTCTTAAGAGCTGTAATTCCTAAACCCTTCTTCTAATTTGGATGTAAATACCCTCAAATTAAACCTGAGAGTATGCACTTTCAGCCCATAGCCAACATTTAACTATAGCTTGAATATTTTATATATATATATATATATATATATATATATATATATATATATATATATATATATATATATGGACCTAACTACATATTTTTAGGTCAATGATGTGGACTTTTCTAATTGGGTTTATCTAATTTCTACTTTATGGAGCCCTGATCTCCTGTTGCCTGATTTGTTACATAGTTAGTCTGGCTGAAAAAAAGACAAAAGTCCATCCAGTTCAACCATTAAAAAAAAAAAAGTTATAATCCTACACCCACAGTTGATCCAGAGGAAGGCAAAAAACCCAGCAAAACATGATCCAATTTGCTCCTACAGGGAAAAAAAATTCTTCCTGTTCCCCCGAGAGGCAATCGGATATTCCCTGGATCAACTTTACCTATTAATGTTGGTATCCAGTTATATTCTGTGTAACCAAGAAAGAATCCAGGACTTTCCTACAGCAATTCACTGAGCTGGCCACAACCAACTCTTGAGGGAGTCTATTCTATTTGTATCCGATAACCCTTGTTCTTTTGAGTTGTGTCGACAACTACCTATTGTGATATGACTATTGCCCCTTTGTTCTATCTGTTAAGTTAAAAAAAAGTTCAATAAAAACTATTGGAATCTAAAAATAAATTGCTTGCACTGTTGGGTGTCCTATGTGTGTGGATTCTGCAGTGTTACATGAAACTATTTTAGTTTTTTACATTTTTATATTGGGATGCCTCAAGATTGACTGAAAAAAGAAATACTGGGCTTCACTTTTCAAAAAGACACATTCCAAACGGACCGCGAGGTCTTCTGTATGGAAATGGGAAGGAGAGAAACTCTGTCAAAGAGGAAAAGAGAGGAGAACAATGATGGTGTGTGGAGAGGAGTGCTGTGTAGGTGTAGTGTTTATCGCTAACAATAGAGTTACACTTGGCATAATTGGTGTCAGTTATTATTATGGGATAATTGGTGTCAATCATCATTTTATCACAATGTTGACTGAAAACACGAAGTCCTGTTACCTCTCTGTGTGATCTCATCCAGGACCGCCAATAAATTCGGATGAGGATGATCTTCCTGTAGCGCACACAGACATTCCCAGAGTCCAATCACAGCTTCTCTTCCCAGATCCCGAATATCTTGTAACAAGGTGTGAGAGAAGGAAGATGGGTCTTTTTCCATTGACAGGTATTTCTGGAGAAGACATCTTATTATTTTTCCATTATTACAGTTAGAAATTAAACTTCAATACATTATTTTTTAGCTTAACATACAAATGATTCTCTTTGCTCTGAAAACTCCATACAGAAAGATAAATCATGTCATAAGGAGGTTATACTGCCTGACAATTGTGTGCTTTTCCAGAATGGCTCCTTCCAACACCAGTCAATGTAATAGGACACTACCAGAGCTGCAGGAAAGAGTGATGGTAGATAGGGTTTGTACCATGCAACACAGCTCAATTCTTTACATCCAGTACAGACCCTCCCACTGTCAGCTTGATCTGCAATAGCAGGGGGTGATGACTTTGATGGGTTTTTTTAGTGAATGGTCTGAGGAGAACTTTCATACTTATCTGGTGTTTTTCTTAAAAAAATGCAGACTAGGAATCACATGGTTATTTTCCTCCAATGGGATTTGAGGTTGTTCATTTTCTTAATTGCATTCTGCATCTCTAATTCACATTATTGCTGCTCTCTACTTGGCAGTGATGCGAAACCCCCCTTGTCTCAGAACTAGAGCTCTCCAATCATCAGGGAGTGTGAGCTTTGCTCTAGCTCTGACTCAGCAGTAGGCATTTCTGACCTCTGCAGAGAGACTGCTGCTTCCACACAGTATTTAGTTATTTATTTCAGGTACTTATATAGTGCTGTCAATTTACACAGTGCTTTACATATATATTGTACATTCATATCACTCCCTAACCCTCAAGGGGCGAACAATCTAAGGCCCCTAACTTACATTCATACATATACATACTAGGGTCAATTTAGACAGTGTCAGGGTCCTGTCCACGGCAGGAGTTCTGGAAGATCTGGCATTTCTGCCAGAACTTTACATAGCCGCAAAAGTACACATCAGCCTCAGCCTGGTGCCACACGGCCTTTATAAAGGAGGCTCATCACTTCCTCTGGTTGCTGGATGATCTCTAGCTCCCCATGACCTGTTCCTGGTTCCTGTGATTCTGACTTGTGATTTCCTGTTACCGACTCGGCTTGCTCCTGGACCTGTCTACTCTGCCTTACCCTTGATCTGACCTCGGCTTGGCTTACGGATACTCTCTCTCGCTCCTCTGTGAATGACCTCAGCTATCCCATCTGACTACGTCTGCTCTGATTCCCAGCTGGTACCTGACCTTGGCTTTAACCGACTATTCAGAAAACATCCAAATCCCGGAAGGGCTTGCATACCACGCACAGGCGCCTCCTGTCTGCAGACCTGTCTCCGTGCACCAGCTGTGCTTCTGAGTGGACCACCAACCAGCACTCCTACCTGTGCAACTTTGGGCCAGACTCCCGCTGTCCCACTCTCAGGGAAGTTCAGAACTTAGCCGCAAGGGAAGTCCTCTCTCCACTGGCCTCCATCACCACGTGATAGACAGGAGCCAATTCATCTCTCAGCATGTCTTTGGAGTGTGAGAGGAAACCCACGCAGGCACAGGGAGAACATTACAACCTACAGGCAGGAGGTGCCATGGTTGGGATTCAAGCCAGCGACCCTAGTGCTGCCAGGGGCACGTGCTAACCATTTAGCCACTGTGCTGCCAGATGACAGGGGTCCTTCTCTGTTGCCTAATGGCCAAAGAAAAGTTTTTCTCTGTGGATGAAACTGCCTTATAAACAGTAAGATTTTGTGCTTTTGTTATTTTATTGATTTACAACATTTAACAGAAAGCTTCAAGTCCCAGAGATCACTTAGAGCAGAACTTTCAGACTCCAGAGAATCAGAAACATGGAAGCCAACGTTATCTCTCGGCTTACTCACTTTTATTTGGAGTTGATTAAGGTTTTTTAAGACAAGTAAAAAAAAAAAAAGACATCAGTGGGTCAAGCAAGGACATACTGATTGTTTAGCTGCCTTTTTATACTTTTTACATATTTTTAATTACATTTTGGTGGTTTTAATTTTTTTAAATGTTTTATTTTGTAGATGCTACAAAACATCCATTTAATGCTGCCAGGCCAAGAGAGGACATGTGAGACACAAATGCCAACAATTGAAGAAAAAAAAAATTGAGACAAATTTTGGAAACATTTCACGGTAAAATCAAGTTTGACAATATTTGCTGCTTGTCCCCAATAAACATACAGAGAGCGATAGGAAGACGTATCATATCTAACATGTATATGGAGTTATGAATGTGAGGCTTTTGTGATGTGAAAAGAAACAACGTAAATCCACAGATAATGAACTCATACCGCCATCTTAGTTGTTTTATAAATACACCCCCCAATGTAATATTGTATTCTGGTGGAAACAATTGTGCAAATGGCTTGAAAAGTTGTATGTGGGATGTAATGAAGTGTTGATATGATCACATTTATCTTGTGGATTTATTAAAAGTTCAGTTGTTTATAATTGTACACCATGTCACCTTATATAGATCATAAAGGATTGGGGTAATCCATGTTTATAACGTTTTATACGGAGTTCCCCAGTGCCACACATACTGTATTTTTTATTATAGGAAATTTAGAAGTATCTTACATCTGTGTTTAAAACATTCTGAGATTTTATTTCTGCCAGGACAGCATGAGGGTTCACATTCTCCAGGATGTAGATCAAATCATCTCTGTAATACTCGTATATCCTCCTCAGTGATGGATCGTCATACTCAGACAGCTGACGGTGGAAGTTTCTAATGTCATCTAGAAAAGCAGAGACAATCACATTTTCTGGCCTTCCAAAAACCAGCTTTATAAATGCTATGAATTTACTTCCACCACAGACTTTTACTTCTATGCTGGATCAATGCTCTGCAATTGGAAGGATGTAACAAATGACATTTCTACAAGGAGCACAAGAGGTGGGGATCACTATAAGGACCATTACATGAATTGCCCTGTGATTGGGGATTTATATTTGTAAATCCCAAGCTAACTAACTATCTATGAATCCTTATTGAGAGGTAATGACTAACAAGTGTCCTTGTGACTGGGGGATTTCAACCATTCGAACCCCAGTTACAAATAAATAAATAAAAAAGTTAAAATAAAAATGCGTAGTTTTCTTCCGGCTACAATCCCTAAAGAATATGTTACATTTCATATTCTTGATATGTATCACTGTATCATGTACTTGTGTTCTATTTGTATTGCTTCCTTTGTGTGAAATCCCCAGTGACCCTGCCAGTCCCTCTGCTTTCTTATTTAACACTCACCACTCTAGGCATGAGATCACATTCTTCCCAGTCTGGTCAGTTTTCTGGCTGTGCTGGGAGAACAGTATGTCTGTCTTCCAATGATCAGGCTTGTGCTGGTACACTTCCTTGCACAGCCATTTGCTGGGATGATCACTGTGCTGCTGTTTCTCTACCCCCAGCTCTCTAAGCCCCTTACACAGCTGAGAACAGAGGGAATGTGATCCCTGCTAAAAAATAATTGTTTAAAAGGGTTGTTTATAATGTGTATATATAGTCTGTGTGTGTGTATGTGTATGTATGTATAATATATAATATATTATATATATATAATATATATATATATATATTACAGTGAGGAACAGAAGTATTTGAACACCCTGCGATTTTGCAAGTTTTCCCACTTAGAAATCATGGAGGGGTCTGAAATTCACATTGTAGGTGCATTCCTACTCTGAGAGACAGAATTTAAAAAAAAATTCAGGAAATCACATTGTATGATTTTTAAAGAATTTATTTGTCTTGCACTGCTGAACATAAGTATTTGAACACCTAAGAAACAGCAAGAATTCTGGCTCTCAAAAACCTGTTACTGTGCCTTTAAAAAGTCCACCCCTACTCTACTCATTAATCTAACTTAGTAGCACCTGTCTGAGCTCTTTAAAGACACCTGTCCACCCCACAGTCAGTCAGACACCAACTACTACCATGGGCAAGACCAAAGAGCTGTCAAAAGACTCCAGAGACAAAACTGTGGACCTCCACAAGGCTGGAAAGTGCTATGGGGCAATTGCCAAGCAGCTTGGTGAAAACAGATCAAAGTTGGAGCAATTGCTAGAAAATGGAAGAGGCTAAAGACGACTGTCAGTCTCCCTCGGACTGGGGCTCCATGCAAGATCTCACCTCGTGGGGTATCACTGATGATAAGAAAGGTGAGGAATCAGCCCAGAACTACAAGGGAGGAGCTGGTCAATGACATGAAGAGAGCTGGGACCACAGTTTCAAAGGTCAATGTCGGTAGAACACTACGCTGTCATGGTTTCAAATCATACATTGCACGGAAGGTTCCCTTGCTCAAGTCATCACATGTCCAGGCCCGTCTGAAGTTTGCCAATGACCATCTGGATGATCCAGAGGAGGCATGGGAGAAAGTCATGTGGTCAGATGAGACCAAAGTAGAACGTTTTGGTCTAAACTTCACTCGTCGTGTTTGGAGGAAAAAGAAGGATGAGTTGCATCCCAAGAACACCATCCCTACTGTGAAGCATGGGGGGTGGTAACATGCTTTGGGGTGCTTTTCTGCGAAGAGGACAGGATGACTGCACTGTATTAAGGAGAGGATGAATGGGGCCATTTATTGTGAGATTTTCAGCAACAACCTCCTTCCCTCAGTCAGAGCATTGAAGATGGGTCATGGCTGGGTCTTCCAACATGACAACGACCGACAAAGCACACAGCCAGGAGAACCAAGGAGTGGCTCCGTAAGAAGCATATCAAGGTTCTGGAGTGGCCTAGCCAGTCTCCAGACCTAAATCCAATAGAACATCTTTGGAGGGAGCTGAAACTCCATGTTGCTCAGTGACAGCCCCGAAACCTGACAGATCTAGAGGAGATCTGTGTGGAGGAGTGGGCCAAAATCCCTGTTGCAGTGTGTGCAAACCTGGTCGAGAACTACAGGAAATGTTTGACTGCTGTAATTGCAAACAAAGGCTTCTGTACCAAATATTAACACGGATCTTCTCAGGTGTTCAAATACTTAATGTTCAGCAGTGCAAGACAAAAATTCTTTACAAATCATACAAAATGTGATTTCCTGAATTTTTTAATTCTGTCTCTCAGAGTAGGAATGCACCTACAATGTGAATTTCAGACCCCTCCATGATTTCTAAGTGGGAGAACTTGCAAAATCGCAGGGTGTTCAAATACTTCTGTTCCTCACTGTACACAGGGGTAAAAAAAGTCACCATTGTCCTCAGTAAATATATTTCTAAAGGTGCTATTGACATGAAATTTTCACCACATCTCTATAGCAACCCATGCAATCCATACATACAAAGAGACCAAAACAAACAAGTTCAGAAATTAGGTTATGTGTAATAAAATGGAATGACACAGGGAAAAATGATAGAACAGAGTCACTGAATGCCTCCTGTATGGAGAAATTAGTGGCATGCGTTGCTCAGGGGTGATTTTGGCTCATTCTTCCACACAGTCTTCAAATCTGGAAGGTTCCGTGGGCCTCTTCTATGAGCTCTGATCGTTAGTTCTTCCCATAGATTTTTCTATTGGATTCAAGTCAGGTGATTGGCTGGGCCATTATTCTAGTAGCTTTAATTTCTTTATTTTAAACCAATTGAGAGTTTCCTTGGATTTGTGTTTGGGTCTTGATGAAATGTCCACCCTTGTTTCATCCTGGTAGATTGCAGCAGATTTTTTATCAAGAATGTGATGGTCCATTTTTCCATTCATCCTCGCTTCAGTGACATGAAGTTTGCCAGTATCGTATGCTGAAAAAACAGCCCCACACCATGATGTTCCCACCTCCATGCTTCATTGTTGGGATGGGGTGTTTGGGGTGATGTGCAGTGTCATTTTACCTCCAAACATGGTGTGTATTATGGCATCCAAAGAGTTAAGTTTTTGGTCTCATCTGACTAGAATATATTCTCCCAGTATTTCACAGGCTTGTCAAAATGTTGTGCAGCAAACTTTAAACGAGCTTCAACATGCTTTTTCTTCAGCAATGGAGTCTTGCGTTGTGAGCGTGCATGCAGGCCATGGCGGTTGATTGCATTACTTGTTTTCTTTGAAACAATTGTACCTGCTAATTCCAGGTCTTTCTGAAGCTCTCCACAAGTGGTCCTTGGCTCTTGGACAACTCTTCTGATAATTATTTTCACTCTTCTTTCTGTCAGAAACCTTGCCGGTTTATGGTTAAATTATGTTCTTTCCACTTCCGGATAATGGCCCCAACAGTGCTCGCTGGAACATTCAGCAGTTTAGAAATCCTTCTGTAATTAATGCCATCAGTATGTTTTGCAACAATAAGGTTGCGAAGATCTTGAGGGTTCTTTGCTTTTACCCGTCATGGGATGTTATTGTGTGACACCTTGGTAATGAGACACCTTTTAATAGGCCATCAGTTGAGACTGAACCAGCTGATATTAATTTGCACTGACAAGGAGCAGGATTGCTTTCTAATTACAGATAGGTTTCAGTTTGTGTCTTGGCTTTCCATTGCTTTTTGCACCTCCCTTTCTTCATGTGTTTCATACGTTTCCCTGCATCATTCCATTTTAATACACACACCTTAATTTCTGAACTTATTTGTTTTGGTTTCTTTATATGTATGGATTCCATGGGTTGTTACCGACATGTGGTGAAAATGCCACGTCAATAGCACCTCTAGAAATATATTTACTGAGAAAAATGGTAAAGTGTTTGTGACATGACGCGTGTGTGTGTATATACACACACACACACACACACATATATATATATATATATATATATATATATATATATATATATATATATATATATATATATATATACATACATATATATACACACACATACATACATACAAACACACACACATATATATATATACACACATATATACAAACACACACACACGTAATTGCAACACAAAATGCTAAAGAAATGCATGTCTAACAAATTATGCACTGATTTGCATGTTCATAAGGGAAATAAGTATTTGATCCCCTATCATTCAGCAGGATTTCTGGCTCCCAGGTGTCTTTCATACAGGTAACAAGCTGAGATTAGAAGCAGTCTCTTAAAGGGAGTGCTGCTAATCTCATTTTGTTACCTGTATAAAAGACACCTGTCCACAGGAGCAATCAAACCATCAGATTCCAAACTCTCCACCATGGCAAAGACAAAAGAGCTGTCCAAGGATGTCTGGGACAAGATTGTAGACCTACACAAGGCTGGACTGGGCTACCAAACTATTGCCAAGCAGCTTGGTGAGAAGGTGACAACAGTTGGTGCAATCATTCACAAATGGAAGAAACACAAAACAAGTGTCAGTCTCCCTAGGTCTGGTGCACCATGCAAGATCTCACCTCGTAAAGTGTCAATGATCATGAGAACAGTGAGGAATTATCCAAGAACTACACGTGAGGATCTTTTCAATGATCTCCAGGCAGCTGGGACCACAGTCACCAAGAAAACAATTGGTAACACACTACGCCGACAAGGATTGAAATCCTGCAGTGCTTGCAAGGTCCCCCTGCTCAAGAAACACATGTCCAGGCCCGTCTGAAGTCTGCCACTGAACATCTGAATGATGCAGAGAAGGACTGGTTGAAAATGTTGTGGTCAGATGAGACCAAAGTGGAGCTCTTTGACATCAACTCAACTCGCCGTGTTTGGAGGAGGAGGAATGCTGCCTATGACCACCATCCCAACTGTCAAACGTGGTGGAAACATTCTGCTTTGGGGGTGTTTTTCTGCTAAGGGGACAGGACAACTGCACCGCATCAAAGGG